AGTTCTGAGTTGTAGGAAGCATTGGGTATTGCTATTTAAATTGTAAATATTTTAAAATCGAAGGAGTTAAACTTGCATCTTTTTAAATTGATATGTAAGGAAGTGGGATCATCTGATCCCCAGCTAGTTGCTGCATTCAAAAATGAGATGGTTGTCATGGGGATGCATAATAGCATGTTTATTGGGACTGAATACAAAGTCAGAGTCAGACTTTTTCTGACAAAGAAGAAATTGATTTGGCTGATTGCTTTGACAATGAATAGTGCTTTGCTCATTAGATAATATAAATACATGTTATGGTTTGCCCAGGGCAGTTGTGGTTTATTGGCATAATTAGTAGCCCATCCTCATTAGGCTATATGGTAGACAATTTCCATAAATTGTCTCATGAACCCTAGATCTAGCATCTTTCCCCATTAAGAAGTAAATTAAGGTATGTTATCAAAATATAATATTAACAAAGGTGAATTAAAAATAATATTTACATGTTCCTAAGCCTTTCTAAGTCTATCTGGTTAAACAGGTACCACTAAAAAGCAATCGATAAAATTAAGGGTCCTCTGTTGCATCTAAATTTCAGAGAAATTAAAAATTGGGAAACAAATCTTTCTGTACATCAGGTAGTTTAGGGGTTTCTTTCCTTTTTCAAGATATAAGGAAAATCTAATCAGTTGGTAGAATGTTATATATAATATTTATGACAGAGAGTCTGTGACTTGAGGCATATAACTGGAAAGGCATTCAAAGAATGAAGCAAACATACTTGTATAAAACTTGTTCTGATCCCACCTACTTATTTGCATGAACACGATTTCTCAGAGACTACATTTTTAAAAGGAGGGGGATGGAAATAGAACTAATAGAACTAATGGTGAATCCGGTTCATCATTGCACTAAGTCATATCTATTTACAGATATATGAACTGGAAACTAGTCAGTGAAAGTTTGGTGAGGAAAAGGATATTTACACAGCGTCGTCCCACAAAATGCTTCTTAATTACAAAGAGGAAAAAGTGTAACCTTATAGTGGAGAAACCTGGCAGACATGGCATTTGGTAAGGGATCAAAGCTAGCATTATCATCAGTAATGGGATGAATTCAAATTGTGAGCCCTTGACTAAACACAAAGAGGAGAAAGCTCGCCCACTCTGTGATAGTACTGCTAAATTGCACAACCTAATTCTTATTGTGAGGGAACATCCAATGAACCCTAATAGAGGGACATTCTACAAATGTCTGGTCTGTAATCTATAAAATGCCAATATCCAAAAAAAAAAAATGTTTGAAGAGCTCTCTCAGACTGAAGGAGTCTAAAGAGATATGACAACTAAATGCCACGTGTGCTGTACATGAGGCACTTGCACTATACAAAGGACATACTGGAACAATTGGTGAAGTTTTGAGAGGGTCTGAAGATAAGATGATAGTGAGAGATCAGCACTAATTTCTTGATCTCAATGGCCGTGTTGTAGTTTTAGAGGAAAATATCCTTGTTCATAGATATTATACATCAAAGTATGTGGTGATTTCTTATTTCACTCCTGCTGCTATAACAAAATACCATGAACTGGGTAATTTGTATAAAAGAAATTTATTTCTCACAGATCTGGAGGCTAGAAAGTCCAAGATCAAAGTGCCAGTGGGTTCCAAGTCTTTGTTTCCAAGATGGCGTCCTGAACACTGTGTCTTAACTTGGGGAAAGGCAAAAGAAGCAAAAGGACCAACTAGTTCCCTTGAACCCTTTGATAATTAAGGATTCAAATCCTATGAGTGAGAGTGTAGCCCCTCGTGACTTACTATCACATTGGGTCTTAGACTTCTATGCATGAATTTGGGGGCACACCTTCAAACTATGGCAAGGGTAGGATATCATTTGGCAACTGCCACTCAAATTCTTCAGGAAATAAAGGCTCTTTGTGTTGTTCCTGTGGAGAGGATCACTTTCAATGATTCCCATGTCACTCAGAAAACAGTCAAAGTCCTTACAATGGCCAAGAAGCCCCTTTAGGATCTGTCCCCACCTCCTTTTGCACTTCCTGTCTTAAGAGTTGTCCCTTTACTCTTCTCCGGCTTCATGGGTCAGCTTGCTTTTCCTCAAACCCATTGGGGACACTCCCATCTTAGCTAGAGTTTTGCCTGGAATGTTCTTTCTCCAGAAGTTTACCTGGTCAGCTCCCTCGTCTCTTTCTGGCCTTATTTCTGTTGTAGGGACAGACAATAAAAGGCACCAAAGACAGCAGGAAACAGATCTATTTGGCTGCAGCCAGGTTCAGAGGGTGCAGCCTTTGCTGTAATCAATCAAACCCTTGAATCCCGAGTTCAGGGAGTTTCAGAGTTTTATACCCAGCATGTAAGGGGAGGGGCTCAGAAGTTCACAGTCTGCAGAAGTTCACATAAAAGCAGCTTTTTCTTTCACTATTTTGGGCAAGTTAACTCTTCAAGGACAACTCCTGAGAAGGGGAGAGCCTCTTCTCCCCTTTCTTTCCTCCCCCTGCCAGCTGTTACCATGGAGCCCAGTTGTAACTTATCTTAAAAATGTAGACATCTCTGTGAAGCCCCAGCTCAAGGCCAGAGGCCTTGTTTGCACATTTCTACAAACTACTATACTGGATACGTTTGTGAAAAACTAGTAAGGGGTGTCCAGCACCTGGAATGCTGGTATCTTCTCGGCCAGTGGCCAAGTAAACAGGGCGACATGAAAATAGGAAGTTTATCTGCATTGGACTCTTTTGCAGAGACTCTTTGGCTGACAGTCCTAAAATCAGCCATGGTGAAGATCTCTGGAGAAGCCCCGTTAAGACTTTTCTGTGGAGAGAGGGGGTGCCGCTTCATTTCAAATGTCACCATTTCAATGAGACCCACAAGAACCACTGCTTTGATTTGAAGGTCCCATCCAAAACTTAGGTTGAAATTGAACTGCTACTGTGACCATATTGGAAGGTGGAGTCTTTAGGAGGTGAATAGGCATCAGGGCTCCACCCTCATGACAGGATTAATGTTGATGTTGCAGGACTGGGTTAGTTATCATGGAAGTGGCTTTGTTATAAAAAGTAATTCTCTCCCACCAGTTCTTTTGATCCCACCTACCTCTCTCTCTCCTGTGCCCTTTTTTAACCATGTGATACCCTCGACCATGTTATGATGCAGCAAGAAAGTCCTCAGCAGGCTGGGCATGGTGGTACAGGTCTGTAATTCCACAGACACAGAAGGTTGAGGCACGAGGATCACAGCCTGGGCAGCTTAGTAAGACCCTGTCTCAAAATTAAAAATAAAGAGGTGGGGATATTGTTCATATGGGAAAGTGCCCCTGGGTTCAATCCCCAGTACTTAAAAAAAATAAAAATAAAAAAAATAAAAAGATCTTCACCAGATGCAGCCCTAGGAATTTGGATTTCCCAGCCTCTAGAACTGTGAACCAATAAACCTCTTTATAAATTACTCCATCTGTGGTATTCTGTTACAACAGCAGAAAATGGACTAACACTACTGACTTATTTAAAAAAGCAAAAAAAATAAAATAAAGTCAATCTTCTTCCCACATTCTTGATTCCTAAACCTTTATCTAATTGTCTTACTTTTATTTTTTTCTAAGAACATCTATCCCCTTCCGTATACCACCTCAAGTAATCGCATATTATGTTTGTTATTCGTTGTCTGTATTCTACCACTAGATTATAAAGTCCATGGGAAAGAAGAATTTTTATTTTCTTCATTGATTTATCTCAAGTTTCTAAAACAGTGTATGGGCACATACATATTCATGGAATCAATTAAAGATTTTCCAATCCTGGGTGGGGGATTGGGTGCATTGGAAATAACATTTTATATGTTTTTTTTAATTTCTCAAAATAAAACATTGAGGTGGTTTTTTTTTCCCCCAAGGAGGGTGTAAAGAGTAGGACTTCCATTTCTGGCAATATAAGACTGAGAAAATCCAAAATATAAAAGATTCTGAAATTCTGAGTAAAATGTAAAGCATATTTTTAAATACATAGTTGAAGTACAAAAAAAAAAAA